TATCACACACCAGACCCGATATTGCATATGCAGTAAGCATTGTTAGCAGATTAATGCATATCCTAGTACGAAACATATCAATGTTGTGTACAAAATTTTGAAGTACCTAAAGGGAACACTTGGAAAAGGCCTACTATTTTCCAAGAACAACAACTTAGAGGTTAAAGGCTATACTGATTCAGATTGGGCTGGGGACAAAACTACTAGACAATCAACATCATGATACTTTACCTCTGTGGGAGAAAATTTGGTTACTTGGAAGAGCAAAAATTAGAAGGTAGTAGCAAAATCAAGTGTAGAGGCTAAATTTAAAGGCATGCTCAAGGGGTCTACGAATTACTATGGATAAAGAGGGTATTGGAGGACTTAGGAATCAAACATGATAACCCAATGATATTACATTGTGATAACAAGGCTGCCATTGAAATTGCACACAATCCAGTTCAACATGATAGAACAAAGCATGTGTATGTGATAGACACTTCATCAAGGAGAAACAAGATCCAAAAACAATTTAGTTTCAATTCATCAAATCTGAAGATCAACTTGCAGATATTCTAACAAAGACAGTTTCTAGGAAAATATTTAAAAAAGTAGTTAGCAAGTTAGACATGACAAATATTCATGCACCAACTCAATGGGAGTGTTAAAAGTGATATTTAAATTCAAATATTTGTTCCAATGTTTGTTTTCAAATTCGAAATATTCCTTGTAAATAGGCATAGTAGTTGAGAGAAATTTGGAAGGCTGTTGCCTTATGGTTAAGAGTTTGTATATCTAATAGCTCATTCGGGGAAGAATTAAATGAACGAATCACACAATTGTTTTACAGCGTTGATTTTTAACATTATATATTACAAAGAAAATAAAATAAATAATTGTATATACAATCTATATAAAAATGATTTATTAAAAGTTGTTGAAATAAGGTATGTATGTATTTTAACATCGATACATATAATGCAAATGCTTTTTTTTTGAGTTACCCAACCCTAATTATCTCTTTGAGGTGAGTTGGCTCCCTCCGGTATCCCCACAAGCTTCGATTCTTTGAGCCGGCTATGAGACTAATCCGGAGTGCGGGGGTCAGTGATGACTAAAGATTCAGCCCCCTCCCCAAAAATGCATTCAGCGAAAATCGAACACATGTCCAACCCCACTAACTTAGCGCCGAACCACTGCACCCATTGGGTTATAATGCAAATGCTTGGCGTATAACAAAAATGAAATATTGTAGTAATACTATATTACTATTAAAAACAAAAAAAACCTGTATTGGGAGGTTTGCGTACTGCTCTCAGTGCTCGGTGACATACATGTACGTAAATTGATGATTTATATTCCTTTACACAAATTTTAATCCGGTGAAGTCGAATAGAACCACAATAGCAACAAGTTTTTCCCACTAAATTTTAAACACAGATGCATAATAATAATAATAATAATTATTATTATTATTACTATTAGTTTTATTATTATTATTGATATTGTTACAACTATTTAAAAAATGTTATATAGAAGACAACTAAATTTATTTAAAAAAATTGAAAGTCATAACCAATTTTTATTTTATAAAAAATTATTAAAAATATTTTGTAAATCGGTCTTTTATAAATGAGACTAGATTTTAGAATTTTATTATATAAAAGAAAAATCAAAACTTAACCTTGTTTCTTTCCTAATACATTCATTCTAAGCCGGATAACCTAAAGTTAATAATGGAAAATATATTAATAATTTTGAGAATGTGTTTTTTTTATCCCTTTTAACAAAGATGAAATTCATCTTAGGAATTTGGTTTTCATACTTAAAAGAGGGTGAATTGAGTTTGATAAAAAATTTTGTTGCGAATTCCCCTTTCTCATTTCTAAATGATCATGTTATGCAAAGTTTGACATATAAAAAACTTATCATTATATTCAAACAACCCATAAAATACACACAATCTATCACAATAATACAATATATACTGCCACCTATTAGATATCAAAAAACAATTAGAGTGTTACAAATGAAGAGTACAGGTTAAAGTGATTACAAACTCTATCTTGGTTCGGCCACTGAGCTTGTTGAACACTCCGATGACACAATCCCAATCTCAGTATTTTGGCTTATCAAAAATCCAATTTGATCCATCAGATCCAGCATTGAACTTCTGGACAAGTTAACCAAAAGGATTAACACATAGTTTCCAAGAGAAGTTGTCCTACAAAATAAAAATGCCATGGCAGTGCTTCTCATACTCTCCGGAGATTAGTCATAGAAAAACTCTTGTTGCCCAACGGACATAAAAGCTTCAGATATTCCATGAATGCTGTACTGTGGAACAAGCCAAAATACTCTGATATTCCATGAAGATATACATAAGAATTTCTCATAGACCATCTCATATAAAATTCTAATAAATTTTTTTTATTCCGTTTAAGTCCTGCTAAGCGTGTTTATAAAGTATTGGGGGGTGTGACTGTCTTGTCATGCTGGCTCCTAATATATTTCAATTTAATTTAATTAGTAATTAAGTTGTGGATATTATGAGATAAATTTTTTAATTTTTTTTCTAGAAAGGTCAAAAGGCCTACATTCGTTTATTCATTTTTTATTTTATTTTTTATATTATCTATCAATTTGGAGAATATTCGACTGATTTGATTTGACTCCGATAAATATTATATCAATTGAACGAATGCATATTATACTATAACATAGTGATACAGAGAAAAAGCAAATTGGGAATTACACAGGAGGAAGCACAGCGAGTAAAATGCACAAATGTAAAAATCAAAAGATTACAAGTTAGTGTAACTGTTTACAAGAATTGAATGGGAATGATAATATACGCAAGTTTGATATATCTTTTAAAGGATATTTCGAAAAATTTTAAAACAATAATCAGAGAACATTAACAATAAAGAAATAAAACTAACAATAGACACTCTTTATTTATTTTTTAAATTCTTAAATGAATAATAAACATTATCTTTTTCTTAACATGTGTTGAATAATAGTAAAATCCTTAAAAAATACTATAACAATGTCACTATTTTAGTTTTTTGTGTGTGTGTATAAAATAGTACAATACGAAGTTAAGAAAAAAAAATTAAAATATTACTATTTTAATAAATAATTACGAATACATGGCTGTTTCGAAACTATCTACGGATCTATTGCACTCATTCACGTACAAATTAGGCGTGACTCCCAAGGCATTCATGCCTAAATTAGACGTGACTCATCTGGTGTTGACACGTGGCACAAAAAATTAATAGTTTAACCGTAAAACTTTATAAGACCATGACTTTTGACTCGGGTATCCGATTGAATTAATTCTTTTTTTGATTCCACGTAACTTTTCGAGATCTACGCAATGACATCTCATTTGATATCTTTTATCTCTCACAAACACAATTCAAATTTGCAACAATGATACTATAAAGATGACATGGCACCAAAGTGGATTAACTCATCTATAAATGAGATGACACCAAATTTTCTATTAAATGCAAAACGCAATCAGTTCCTATTAAATTTAAAATTCAAATAACCTCCAATAAATTTATTTGAATTGGCGACAATCTGTAACCAACTCATAAAATTACAACGCAATCAGCTCCTATTAAATACAAAACACAATCAACTCCTATTAAATACAAAATGCAATCAACTTATGAGAGGTTATTTGAATTTTGAATTTAATGTTATAGTACCAAGTGTTTGAAAAAAAATAGTGTACAAGGTTATTTATTTAATTATTATAATATATACAAATTTATATAATATTCTACGAAGTGTTTAGAATATTTATTTAATTATTTTTTTATTAATACAGATTTTTCATATTAATTTTTGAGTTTAAATCACAAATTAAATCTTTATTTTATTTTTTATTAATAATAATATTTAATTTTTTTTTGATAATACACTATATAATACAATTATTCCAAATTTGAATTGTGTTTGTGAGAGATAAAATATATCAAATGAGATGTCATTGCGTAGATATCGAAAAAGTTATGTGGAATCAAATAAAAAATTACCTCATTCGGATACCCGAGTCAAAAGTTATGGCTTTCTAAAGTTTTACAGTTCGTAAGTTGACTTTTTTTGCCACGTGTCAACACCAGATGATTCACGCCTAAATTAAGCGTTAATGCCTTGAGAGTCACGCCTAATTTGGGCATGAATGAGGGCAATAGATTCATAGATAATTTCAAAATAGCTATATATTCATAATTATTTATTAAAATAATATTATTTTAATTTTTTTTCCTACGAAGTTATCTAGCCTTTATAGCATTTATTTCATTCAAATGGAGTCAATTTTATTAAAATTGTTTCCTGTAATAAGAGTTAATTGTAAAATATTTTACGCAACAATTACTTATGAAAATGAGTAAGTTTTTTTGAGAAATACTATTGTTAGAGAATAATATAAATTATTAAAAAGTCTTCCACCAAATAACTTAAAATTTTGGGTTAAATTAATTATTACATGGTATCAGAGTTTTAGTGACCATAAGATCACGAGTTCGATCTTCACCGCCCTCACTCCTTTATTGTGGAATTAATTAAGCACAAAACAAATAAAATAATTGGTTTGTGTATCTATGCTTCAAGCCCAAAAGCTCTTGCATGAGAGATGTGTTAGATAATAATATAAATCATTAAAAAATTCTCACACAACACCTTAAAATTTTGGGTTGAATTAGTTCCTTACCGATCATCGTAATTCCTTTCACAATTATTATATAATTTACGTAAATTAATTTCATCTAATGAATCTAATTTTAGATGGTTGAAAATCTAAAATAATCATCACGCAGTTCTCGGAAACAAGAAATTTCTTTATTTTTTATTTTATTGTAAAAAAAGGTACAATTTTTTTTTAAAGTAAAGATAAAAAAAAAAACACATGAAGGTAAAATTAAAACAAAAAGACAGAAAAAAAATAAAAGGAAAAAGAAAAAGATAAAAAAGGAAGAGGGTTTGAAAATTGCGTCGGAAGGCATAAAATGCTTTTTCCTGCAACCTGTTTTTTCTTTTCCCTTCCATTTCCAATTTAATGGCCATAAGGCCCTTTCAATTCAACTTCTCGCGCGATAGATTGGTCTTTCTCTTCCGCATTTCTCAATCTCATTCATTTCCTTCTTCTTTTCCCTCAAAATTCCCCAAAACTTTTTCCCCAAACTTTTTCTTCCGCCACATCGCTGCGTCCGCGCCAGCTCCGCTCGCAAGCCCTCCGCCGCCGCAGTCACACGACTTCCGCCGCCGCGCGCCGCAGATTCCAGCCGACACCATGGCGCAAAAGATTGGAAAATCCACTCGCCGCCCTGGCGCGTCCTCCAAGGCGAGGGTTTATGCCGATGTCAACGTCGTTCGCCCCAAAGAATATTGGGACTACGAGTCCCTCACCGTCCAGTGGGGGTAATAGATTCTTCACCTTCTTCTTTTTCCCTTTAATTTTCAATATCTGTGGCATTCTCTTAATTCCTTTGCATTTGAGCAATGGTTTTCAGGCGAGTCTTTTTTCCTTTTCCGAAGGGAAAAAAAAATTAGGGCCTTGTATCACGTTTTATTTGTGTGTTGATGGTTTTGTTGTTGTTCTTGTTGTTCTTGTTTTGAACCTTTCAGGGAGCAAGATGATTATGAGGTTGTGAGGAAGGTGGGTAGGGGGAAATATAGTGAGGTGTTTGAAGGTGTTCACTGCACGGATAATGAAAAATGTATCATCAAAATCCTGAAACCCGTGAAGAAGAAAAAGGTTAGTTATTTATATGGGCCCTGTCATTTTCTTCTTATGTTGGATGGTGGTTGCTTTTCACTTCGGTTTTGGTGAATGAATGTGTTATGTGGTACGATGGTCATTGACAAGTCACGTTGGTGCCTCGCAAAATATATGAGGCTGAAGCATTAATTGTCAATATTGTATAATTTTCGGAACATTAGACTGAACTGGAGATGGTTAGTGATGTATTATGCGGGAAAGTATCCAACCGTAGAGTATGTATGCAAATATTGTGGTTGGAAGATACACTTAACAAAGTGAATGTATTTTTTTTATTGCTTTTTGTCAATGGAGGGGGGAGAGGGGGGTGGCATTGTCGCAATGGGGGATGGTGGCTGTAATCAAAAGATAATATATATATACACAAAATATACTAACAAATCGCTGAATGTAATAAATAAGAAAAACTAATAGCATATATCAAGCAACAATAAATTAGAAACATATTGTAGGAAATAAAATTCACCAAAACTATTGACTTAAAATACTGCAACTGATATTAATTTCTATTGACTTCAAACAGAATCAGTATGAAATACACTGGATTATCACAAATGGGAAGAAAATGGAAATTACAGTCTATAGAAGATGGAAGAAACATAATAATAGCAGAACAATGGATTAAGGAAATTTTAACAAGAAAACCTTAAGATAGATTCAGAGCAATTCAAGAAGATCTGATTTCTCCCAATTCCAAGTCTAGTCCCGGCCTAACCTCCCGAGAATATTCCCCTCTATTTAAGCTCTATTTTGCTTTGTCCATTGCTTCATAAATATAACCATGGCTGGTTTTCTCTCATCATCAACAAGCTGAAGCACTCAAACAAGAGGAGCCATGTCTTTGAGTTTAAAAACCACACGTTTCCAAAAAGAAGTCTTAAAAGTACAATTTTTGTTTCTTGCTTCCCCTTGGCTTCCTTAGACAACTTGTTTCTTGTCCACTCGTTAGAAGTAAACATTCTTCTAAGAATTTCTTTCTATTGATGTATAAAGGGTGTTTCAAATTAAGTGACCGCAAATCTTTCTCTTATGCTTCTTTGTCGCATTCCTCTCATGTTATTTTGCCTCAACCTCTCCTTTTTCCTCTTTTTAATGACAGTTTCTGTTTTTCTACAAAACAAATTTTTTGGGCCTTTCATAGTAGCTTTTTTTATCCCACTAGCACTACTAGGTGCAGTGATATCTTCAAACCCTTCATCAAGTTCCTCTTCACTGTCACATAGACCAAGTTTTCAAGATCAAGATCCATCCCATTTGGAATTTCATCTTGCTTCTTTTTCTCCCTCACACATGCCCAGAACTCTTCTCTGACTTCCTTTGTACATTTAGTGGAAGCTGCAACATTATCTTTCTTCCCCATTAGATGCTGTTTGGCTCTATTGATCCCTCCCCTTGTAACTTATCCAATGAAATTGCACACAACAGGTCATTAGCTGAAGATGGATCTCATACACTAGAGATGGTGCACATGGAGTGCATTCAGTTTGTAGTGGGCGTTTGTGTGTAATAGTGGTTGCACACTCTAGGGATTTCATATATCTCTTTTTTAATGAATAACATAAATGCTCCCCTTTTTAAAGAAACCTAAGCTGCTATTTCCGCCTTGGATTGCTGTAACTGCCATGGTGCCATGACAGAAGTGGTCACCCTTTTCCGCCACATGAAACCTGCAATGCCATGTATGTTTGATGGTGGTTTGCTCAAATTCTGTGATGACACGGTGGAGTTGCGCTGCTATGGTGACTTTTGACAGCACTATGATGGAACGGTGGTATTATTTAATTCATGTAGCTGACCCCTCCTCATGGGATTAGGCTTGGTTACTGTTGTTGCTTAACACTAGAGTGCTTCTATTCAACTGTTACGATTCACTTTGTGGCACAAATTGTTATATGGAGAAGAATGCTATACTGGGACTTTAATTGTCTTTTTTTTTTAAAAAAAAAATTAAACTTTTTTTTTACTAAGAGTAGTTTTAGTGTACTCTTGGATGGAATGGCATGCAAGTGGCCATAATACTTGAGAGTTGTTCACCTACTTAGTTCCATTTGGTTACTTAGAATAGAGATGCTCTAGTAGCAAAGCGCTGTCTAGTCATTTATTTCTTTGTTTTAATTGCCTCCGATCCTATAATTATATATATAACTCTGACAATGCTTCTGATTCTGAATGCAGATCAAGAGGGAAATCAAAATACTACAGAATCTTTGTGGAGGGCCCAATATTGTAAAGCTGCTTGACATTGTTAGAGACCAGCAGTCGAAGACCCCAAGTCTTATATTTGAATATGTCAATAACACTGATTTTAAAGTGCTTTACCCTACATTGTCAGACTATGATATACGATATTATATCTATGAACTTTTAAAGGCAAGTTTTATGCTCGTTATTATTAATGAAAAACATGAACGTTCCACAACAATCAAATTTTTAAGTCATTATTTTTTTATCATTCTTGCTGGACACGTGATATACTAGATGCTTCATAACAAGTTGATTGTTATGATTTTTGTGATTTTCTTGTTGAATTAAATTTTTAAGTGATTCAGATTTGTGCCATTTGCTGCACAGATTTAATGAACACATCTGTCTTAGGTTTAATGCAGATGCAATGTACATTTTGGTTGGTATCTTGGAACCTGATGTCTCAGGATGGGCTTGTGTTGTATAAGGGACTTATAAAACTTAGTTCTGCTCCATCAGTGCTCTTGCGATGCAAGACATATCACCTTGTATTGATTATAAAATAATAGTTTGAGAACTAGTTCCTTTCTCTTAAAGTCATTTGTGAGTTTAAGAAATTCTTTTCACCAGGATGACTTGCATGCAAAAGCTCCTTTAGCCATATATGTCCTGTGAGATAATGTGCATACTTTCTGTGCAAATGTCTCTAATTGTGATTCTACAACCCTTCTTCACTCGGAAGATTGTTGTTTGTAGGAGTTCATTGTACTTTTGGTATTGTTGGTTCTTTATGTCATTCAATAAAGATAATTTTCGGTGCAGGAGGTACACATCACTCAATTCCATCAACTGTTTTAACTCAGTACGAAACTATATAGTTTTGCTTAGAAGGTTACATTAGAAATAATTCTTGCAAAAGACAAGGTATCTGCTTCTATATGTCTCTTTGTGTCTCTTGCAGGTTTCCTTATAGGCGTATTAGTTATGCGTGCTCATATATTCTGGTTTGTATATGTATTGTCACTATTGTGCTGCTTTGTTCAGTTTGTGATCTATAATTGCATTACATTATTTTACCTATCCAATCATTTCCAAATTGTTTGTGGCTATCAACTTAAAAGTGCTAAGTCATTTGAAATTTCTTCCAGGCACTGGATTATTGCCATTCACAAGGAATCATGCATCGGGATGTAAAGCCACATAATGTAATGATTGACCATGAGCAGCGTAAGCTTCGCCTTATAGATTGGGGGCTTGCAGAGTTCTATCATCCTGGGAAAGAATATAATGTTCGTGTTGCTTCAAGGTACATTTGTACTTATGTTTCTCTCTTTCTCTATTGGGTTTAAGGGAGCACCCACTATTGATGTGGGACTTGGGAGAAGCCCAGACCCCAGGGAGGGGGAGGAGAAAGGGGGCAGGGTGCATTGTGGGGTTTGAACCCGTGCACTGTTTTTGCTAGTCCCACATCTCTACCAACTAGCTATCTAAAGAACACTGCATTTATATTCTTTGTTGCTTTTTCAGATGATTTATAAATTGTCATAAAATAATTATTCAAGCAAAGTTTTCATACTTATTGAACTGTTTGGTTTTGATTTTCTTTTGGTTATTGCAATTACTCCTTCCAGCTGCCATTAGGCTTGGTTATACATATACTTCTTGATCTAAACCCGACAATTGAAAATCTTGAGGTAGAAGATTATTAGAAATTTCCTTGTTATCTGCATAAGATAAAGTAATCATTTGGTTTGCTGAGAAGTTTGTTGCAGAAATGAAAAGGGGTTTGGTTCTTCAGAATGTAGCGTCCAAAATCTGTTCCTTAGTTGGTAAATTTCTAATGGTTCAACATCAACATCACCTTTATCCCAAATTAGTTAGGATCGGTGGGAGATGAACCCAAATGAAAAATATGGAAAGAATGCTTTGGGCGTTGTTACTAACAACATCCGTCTCTTATGACATATACAAACAAGTGCCTATGGTTTTTCTTCTTTCATGCAACAATGACTAGCATGCTTTCCTGAATGCTTGATTTTTTATTTTTATTTTTAATTTATTTATAAATTGCTGACACTAAGATTCGAATCTTTGAACGCATACAAACTACCCAAACCTCTCACTGCTAGACCAATCCTAGTGGCTTAAAATTTCTAATGGTTATAAAGTGTAAATATGGTCTACTGCAGAATAGGTGGGATGTCATTAGCATGTCGATGTTTTTGGTAAAAAAGTAACTAGATTATCATTACTTAGAGTCTTTATTTTTCTCGTTTGTTATCGAGCACAAACACTTCCTGATTTCCTTTATTTATGTCTTGCTTGTAGATATTTCAAAGGTCCTGAACTTCTTGTTGATCTTCAAGATTACGATTACTCTCTAGATTTATGGAGTCTTGGTTGTATGTTTGCTGGCATGGTAAGCGATGCACTTTTCTGAGAATGCAATTTGTCTATTGTTTAGGGTTTAGGCCTGGTTTTTCCATTGCAAAGGTAACTACTACATGATAGATCAATTTCTCCTTTTAAAGTCAATGTCTCGTTCAAGTCTCCTGCTCTGCTTCCTGAGTGTGTGTTTTTACAGATATTCCGTAAGGAGCCATTCTTTTATGGACATGATAACTACGATCAACTGGTCAAAATTGCTAAGGTAAGTGAAGCCTGTGAAGTAGACTTGATGAAAATTGTGCCATATTGTTGGGTTATGTGTGTTTCGGTGATAACTCATTACTGCTTTTACTCTGGATTATATTTTTTATGCTTTTCTTTTTTTAATGATTTTAAAAATTGGCGGACGGTATGCCTTAGAACGGAATGGAGAAAAGCTATAAGCATGGTGGAGGGTTAGACCCGTTGTTATTCTTATGTTCCAGATGGTCCCTTTTTAGTCCTTTTCCCCTTCATTTCCCCCTCTTCTTCTTTTCCCTTTCTTTTCTACTTATATATATATATATATATATATATATATATATATATATATATTATTACTATTCTATTTATTTATTTTTATTTTTACTTTTTTGTTTCTTTTTTTTCAACCTTTTTTGTATCTTTCATTTGGGTTCATCTACCACCGACCTCAATTAATTTGGGATAAATGTGTTGTTGATGTTGTCTTTTTTAATGATTTATGTGTACTAGAGCTTGTCCCGCCTGGTGGTCTTGTGATTCAATTCTCTCTTTGTTGAAAAATGAAATGTCAATTGTTGGCTTTTGTGAATGCCTTTCTTCTGTTTCAAACGTGGTTCCTTATTTTTCTGGTACTGATCTTGCAGAACACGCTGTTTCTTCATTTCTTTTATTAATTATCTATGCCTGCGAAGGAATTCTGAATTCTGAAGTTGATTTAGAATTGCAAAGGATGTTTGCTTAGTTCATAGCTGTAGTATGATGTTAGAGAATAGTATAAACCATTAAAAAGTCCTCACCCACTAGCTTAGGCTTTTTTGTTGAATTGGTTCTTTATATGGTATCAGAGCCTTGGTGTCACAGGTTCGACCCTCACCGCCCCCCACTTTCTCTTGTGGAATTTCTTAGTACAGGTAGGTTGGGCCTGATACATTATCTATCCTTCAAGCCCAATGGGCTATCGTGTGAGAGGCGTGTTAGAGAATAGTATAAACTATTAAAAAGCCCTCATCCACTAGCTTAAGCTTTTGGGTTGAATTTAAGCTAGGGTTGAATTGGTTCTTTACAGTGTAGAATCAACTTGAATGTTAAAGAAATAGAGATGGATAATTTTCGATTTTTTTTTTTGTTTTTTTTTTTTGCAATAGGTACTTGGGACAGATGAGTTAAGTTCATATTTGAATAAGTATCGCATAGAGTTGGATCCGCATCTTGCAGCACTTATTGGAAGGTTTATTTTTGTTCTTTACGTCGATTTGTATGTGCGTTGCTTCTGTTAAATAAAACTACTATTAACTAAGAAGTTAATCCCAATATTTTGACAGGCATAGCCGGAAACCATGGGCAAAGTTCATTAATGTAGAAAATCAACACTTGGCCGTTCCTGAGGTAGTATGCATTGTAATTATGTGTTTAAATTTCCCCTATTGTCATTGATTCTCATTCAAAATTTACAAAATATATTTTTTTAAAGGCTGTTGACTTTGTTGACAAGTTACTCCGATATGATCACCAAGAACGTCCCACTGCAAAGGAAGCCATGGTAAAAGCCCAATCTTTTAGTATTTTTATTACTGCACTTTGTTCTATGACACTTTTAAGATATATTGGTTTCATCTTGGTCTTTAACTTGAAACTTCAGGCTTCTAATGTGATTTGGTTTTACCTATTGGTTCATCTGCTGTCCATTTATCCTGCCTTGTTTTGAAATAATTGTGAAGTTGAGAAGTCTTGTGCACCGGGCTTTGCCCCTTTTTTTTTAGAAATAATTGTGTCGGGAAACCCTTTTTAAGTAGACCCTTGCACTGCAAGTTGATGCTTCTAACCGACCTTTATAGTTTGTTTCTAATTGTATTCTTGGTTACCCCTGTTAAGTTGATCATTGCATTGCAATGTGATGCTTCCAACCGACCTTGATATTTTTTCCAATTGTATGGTTGGTTCTCTAAGTTAGTATGTTAGGACTTGGATTTTTGTTTGTTTATTTGCTTTGTTTTTGCCTTTTTGGGTTTTGATAAGAATTGTCCATGGACTGGTTAAGGAATAATAAAAAGTATTCAATAAAAAGTAAAGGATTTAATATATTAAGAACTCAAAAAGCTTTACTTTTCATTTAATATTTCCTATTTTTTGTTAGGGCACTTGCTAATAAAACCCTTTTTCTGGCAAATTTATATTTTTGTAATATGCCCTAATTGTATGTAAACTGCCTATGCCCTTCTTACCATCCAAGTATTTAGTAATATGAATTCATTTAGTACAATGTTTGGTAAAGAAATGTTCAAATGCTACTATGCAGGCCCACCCGTACTTCAATCCAATTAGAAATGCAGAAAGTAGTAGAACTCGAACACATTGAGTTGGTGATGCTTAGATATGGTGCTTGCTTTCTCGGGGACCTTCTTCTAAACTTCTGAACTTCTATTTCTGATGGAACTTGCTTTTGGGAGATTCTGCCCCTATTCAGTTGTAAAACTCAGTTTCATTAGTTCTTACCCTACTTGGGCTTTTGTTTCTGTTTTTTTTTGGGTGGAAAATTCAGGTTTCAATAATTTCATTTGATTGTGTGCTCCAAATTTGGGAATGGATTCTTGATTCAATTTCAGTAAAATCATTCGCATGTTTTGTTTGAAAAACTTAACTTTCAAATTTCAGTTTCAGATTCTTTTCAAGTCTGTTGCTACAGCATAACTAGGTAGTATTTCAAATTTTGATGAATAAATCCGGAATAGATCTTCTCAATTTAATATGATTATCTCATGTGAGGTAAATATAACTGTTAATCAATGGTTATCTTTTTGGCACTTTTTATATAAATATTTTTTTCTCTCTTTATCTCTTATTGCAGTCGATTTGTCCATAAACGGTTAAGATTTTTTTACATGATTTGATCTTTGTCAAATCACATGTAAGAGAATATATTCCCTAACCGTTTACATTGCAGCCGTTTGACATGTTGAAACCCATAGTTATAATATAAGCGGGTACAATGTTTGGTATAATTGCAAGCCTGAGGCAGGTGGGCTGTCCATGCGTGAATTCCACTGTCAGAATGGGTTAATCCATCGCGTTAGGTCTTAGTTCGTGTGATCAAGGCTAAAAAACTCAGGTTGAAAAGCCCTAAATAACAATAGTTCACACGGTTAAAAGCCCCGTTGGTCAGCCTTCAAATTCTTATAATTGCTTTATTTAAAAAATAAACAAATAATTTTTTTTTTTTGGTAAGCTGAGGAAAAAGATCTCCAGCACAAACTATATAATAGAAATACAATGAGTTCTACAAATTGAAACTAAGTCTGCATCAAACAGAAGACCAATTCCAAGGGGAGGGGAATTAAAAATACACATATCATCATAACTAACATTTACTAAAGGGAAATTTGCCAGCCAATTCGCGCAAAAGTTGCCTTCTCTATAAGTGTGTACCAGATGAACTCTCCAATCCTTTATAATCCATGTCTATATTCGAGAAACCAAATGAGTCTTGTGGACTGCATCACCATTATTACGTTTCTTTCTAATATTATGTTTCTCCATCCATCTTTCCAAGTCAATTCCAATCCCTTTAAAATACCCCAAAGTTCTATAGTAAGTGCATCACGTCTCCCAATCCTGTAAGCAAATACTTTTAACCATTGACCAGCTGCATTTCTGAGTACACCATCACAAGCTGCCAAGCATGAGTACCTTTTGCTGCTCCATCAGTATTCATTTTTATCCAATTGTCTTTTGGTGGATTCCAACAAACCAAAGTATCCGAGTGAGCCAATTCTGAATGAACCATGCTAAGCCTGTGAAAAGCATCCTGAATTTCCCTCACCTTTGCTGCCACTGTGTTTGCTTTGTATTGCTGGTTATGTGTTGGGTTTGGGTTATCATGGATCCTCTCATTTCTCCACTTCCAGGCAAGCCAACAAGTAGTAGTAAAAATAGTGCACCAAGGAATATTATCTCTAACATTGCTAACCTGTGACATATTAAGCTCAAATAATTTATCACGCCTAGTCATCGCTCAAATAATGAAAATGATATATTTTATCTAATTCTACATATTATATACTCATCTATTGTGAAATCATATCATATAAAAATTTCAAAATTGAACAAATAACATGCATGAGTGGTAGTATAAGTTTTTACTTAACATATCAAGAAAAATAAGGTATAGGATTTTACTTTTATTATAATAAAATTGTAATTAAATTGGTAAAATATTAACTATTTTTTCCCCAAAAACATTAACAATATATTAAAATCTCTAGTATAATGATATAAATTCATAACCTAATTTGTAGTACCCTAGGCAAAAATAGGTAGAATTAGAGGTTGTTTGACACATTTTTTTTAAGAAAACTAAAAGGTATTTTTAAGCTAAAGTTAAAAAAAGAGTTTAACATGTGTTAAAGAGTTTATGAAATGCATATGACTCTTTGGAGCTTTAAAAATTAATTATGCTTTATGGCTCTACTATCTTATCCTAATTTTAATTTATGAGATTTATCTTAAGATTTATCATGATATGTGAAAATGATGTGAAATTTCAACAAAGAAAGATCAATTTTAACATGATATGTGAAAATTGTAAGTCATTGTTATCTGGTTCATAATGTGATTTTTAGTTTTTATAATTTAGTGGATTCACCTATTATTAAATGAGTCCGATTAATAGTTTGAGTTTTGCATTTGTCATGTTGCATGACAAAAATTGAGTTTCTTACATATATATCGATATTTGTCTTTCAATTTTTTTTCTTCTTTTTATTTAAAAAATGATGGACTCCATATTAGTTGTCTCTGTAGCATGACAAGAGGATTGTCCTACAAACATGATATTTGTTTTTCCCTTATATTTTTAACCTATTTATAAAAAAATAGTTGCTCTATTTCTGTTGGATTAAAGGCGGAGCAGGGCACAACATTATAACAATCGATGTGCACACTGGTTAACTCAACATGTGTTGCTAGAGGACAGAAGATGCATCACCTTCATGGATTTCATCCTGAACGTCGATAGACATTTATGTAAGATATATATTTAATGTTTCTCGTATTGTAGGAGATAAAATTATTTTTTACATATAAATAAAAGTGTGTAAGATTCATGTTTTCTTTTTTTTTCTTCCTCTTCTCTTCATATGACGTATGGATCCCATACATTTTTATATATGTATATGTAAGAGATAATTTTATTTCTTAATATATGGGAAACATCAAAGTTCAAACCCTTCTATATATAGAGGTAGGATCTTTTGACACCAGTGTCAAATCTAAAATTTGACACCTCATCTGAGAGCTATTAGATCAGAAAAAATCAACGGCTCTGATTTGTAAGCATGTGACATCATTGATCTTTTTTGATCTAATGACTCTTAGATGAGGTGTCAAATTTCAAATTTGACACCAGTGTCAAAAGATCCTTTATATATATATATATATATATATATATATATATATATATATATGGTTATTTTCTTATTTAAATTTTGCATTTGACATTGGAAAAGTGGTGCGCATAATTGGATTTTCTCTTGTAGCTAGGAGGGGTTCAAAAAACTAACAAGCCAAACGAATCCCGATTCCGTTATAGATTGGATTACACCTTGTCTGGGTTATGTTCCCAAATAAAAAATACTAATCTGGATTAGGCAATTCACTTGGGCCGTTTGATCTATTTGGATAAATACTTAAACGTTGAGGTTGGGCAATTGAGCAATGGCAACCCAATTGTCTGGATTCTATTTTAGCAAATGACACGAGTTGGTCCTGCACTCGTATTATCCTTTATTATTGTGCCAAAAAAATGTCAACGTTATCTATCTATCTTTTTTTCCTCAACTTTGGGTCACAAATTAATAGTTATGCATATCTTCAACTCTTTATTTGATCTATACAACCGAAAGTTTCCTGGAAAAGGGACCGAGGGGAAATCGAAAAGGTTAGGAGTACTAGTTTCAATATAACGTTAGATAGGAAAGTTCAACCTTCTTACGTAACCCAATTTATGGCTTTCCATATTCTGTTATCTAGTCATTTTTTGCAAATGCGATACAACTAAACTTTGCTGTCGTTAATGTATATAGGCTTAGATTTTTATTTTTATTTTTTTGGCCTGGTTGGAGATTTCCTTATATTGTGGAACTCGCTGACCTATGCCTCGTAACGATATTGACCACTCTTATGCCGCCATATTCACCTCCCACAAAGTCCTCGATCGCATTAATCACGAAGCCAATTCCGTATCTTTTTAAATGATTTTCTAGTTCTTCTATTAATAGTAAATGTTTTCATTCAGTTTTTGGAAACTTTTTGTTTTATTGTAAATGATTTGGATCCACATTCTTGTCTAAAATGAATGGAAGAAGTATTATCTTTTCATTACTAACATAAAAAAAAAACTTACTTTTTAATCTCCTTATTTATGATATGAAAAATAATATTGTGCTGCTAAATTTGGGTCGGGTAATTAATTCGAGGAGTCTACTTACGGGCAACTCCTCCTTATCGGACTTTTGATATTGAAAATACAATTCAGGATTGGGATTTTGATAGATTCATGTAGAGAAACTAGAAAGTGAATGGAAGAAGCGTTATTCTTAAAATCTCGATTTATCACTATGATTTTATGTTTTTATGATTTATTTTCATCAAAACGATTTTATTAATATTTCAAATGCTTTTATGTTTTTATGATTTTTTTACATTACGATTTTACGTTTTACGATTTTTTAATTCCCTTCACATTTTATTTAAGATCTTGATTTTAACAATATTCATCTTTTTAGTACAATCATAAAAAATGAAAGCGAACAGACCACGGTCTCCAAACCCAACTTCATTTTCGTTAATGAACGCACTTTATATTCACTTTCTATGAGAATTAAAGATTGGGATCTAATAAACTCGTGATTTTTTTTTTCATTTTGAATTTTTTTTTTAAAATACATAACAATGCAACAACACTTATCTCGAAAAGGAATTATATTTGGTGACTTCCTTAGATAAATAACTTCATTATGTATTATTATTAGCTGTTAAGGTGTAATTGGTCAGAGAAGAGAGAGCGCGACATTCAAAAGATAAAGATCCCCACTTCAATAGAAAGTGAATAGACCACGGTCCCCAACCCAACTTCCTCTGAGGGGCAAGAGTCCTAGAGTTCTCAATTTTATTAGATCCCTATGCCCCCCATCTATAATATTTCTTCACATATATTGCTTCCCTTGGCACATCTTCCAAACTATTCTCATAATTGTCTATGGTTATTAAGTTGTTATTGTCTTCCCACAGATCCACCAGCTCAAGGGATGTGTCCCTTTGTTTTCAAAGGGTGTTTTTCTCACCCTGTATTACCCTGCCACATAATACCACGCTCCTTAATTAAGCATAATTCTTCAAATCTAATCACTAGATAAACAGGTTTTCTACCCACCTTATGTAACTTAATGAGAGCGTGTTAGCATTCTCCATCATTGAGGATGTGGAAATGAAGTGAAGTGCCACATACTGGAGACAAAGTTAGGACATATAAATCCCGGAATCTTTGTGTTTGTGGGACATTTGGCATATAATCCGATATTGTGAAACAACTCTGCGGGGACCATCTAAC